TTTTTTTTTTTTTCTATGCGTCTTCAGAATCCATTTTATAGAGCTGCCTTATCCAAAGAGACTAACCCAGTCCAATCTCAGTTCCCCCCCACTCCTCTGATGCATAGTTTTTCATGTGCTTGAAGGAGTGAGGCCTTAATGACTTGGGTATGTTTGCAAGTGGGTGTTCTGTTTTGACAAAAGCGTAGGTAATACCTAATGATTTCTGTGAGACTGACTTAACAGCATTTTTATTTCCTATAGCTACAGCACTTTTCACGTGTGGTGAACGCACTTCTCAGCGGCCTCGTGTCATATATTGTGTTCAAAATGTATAACGTGCTACCATTGTCAGATTAAATGTCGTCAGTTGGGGAGAGCTGCAGCAGCAGAAACTTTTGCGTGGATGAAGAGATGAGGACTTCTTTGTCATGTTAGAAAATGAGCTTTCCATGAACCTCTGGAGAAACTTCTCATTAAATGGTCACTGCAAAAGTATAATCCTCTCTTCCTAGGCAGCTTGAAGAATAATGTATATTAGTCTTTTAACATCTAGATAAAGTAGGCTTCAGTCGAGCCCACAAATCAGAAGCTGTTTCTGGCTTAGAAATGGATTGCCGACTTTTTTTCCCTTCCAGCTTTTCCTTCCCGTTTTTTCCAGAAGTAGGCGATTGGGCAGTTCTAACATACATTTGCTAGATTTGTTTCTTGTTCTGTAAACTCAGATGGTTATTGCTGACTCCACCCCGCTTCTGGAGGATTCGCTTTGCACCAGTCTCTGATTTATAACTGTCTTGGTAAACTGCATGTCAGGCTCAGACATAGAGTTGAAAATGAGAAGTACATTGCAACAGAATGAAATGAAAGCCCTGATTCTGCATTTCTTGTTCAAGCTACTGTCCGTGGTGAAGAAACATGGCCAATTTGGCATGCGGTTGACTGCTTCTGAAAACATTACTTCCATGGCTCCACAGCTGTGCTGGGAGTATATTATAATAGCTTTGATGTCACTGTGAAAGTATGGAGATATAACGTTTTATAGTGCAGCAAGCCCTGGCAGGCCAAGCAGTCTGCATTCCTTTGCCCAAATGCTGACGCTTGTGTTCTGTGCCAGCGTAAGGGATTTCTGCAGCTTTGATGAAAGAGAGCAGGTAGCAGCTTGGGCTGTAGCATCCCCTGGTGGCATGCTCCCAGAGTGCCTGCAGCATTGGCATGTACTACAGCTCAAGTGCGTTCAGTCTGAACCTGTGCTGCTTGGTTGGATGGCCTAAGAAAGACGCTGGGGAAAAAAGGTGGAGATGAAGAAGCTCTGGCTCTTGCCCTATGCTAATATTGTTCTGCAAACTGGAGGGTGATGGCTGTTTGATCCTCTGCCAGCACAGCTGTTGGGGAATAGAACCCTTCAGCTCTGTAACCAGGGGAGCACATGCTGAATTATAGGGTCCTTCCCAGTCTTAAGCTTGAGCAGTGTGCCTGTCGCTTTCCAGGTGACTGACACGCTCATGCCTCTTGTTTTCTCTTGCAGACCAGAATGCAGAGCCTGCAGCCGGATCCCAAAGCCCAGTACAAGAGCGTGTATGGAGCCTTGAAGAGGATGGTGCTCACCGAGGGCTTCTGGAGGCCTTTACGTGGAATTAATGTCACCATGCTGGGAGCTGGCCCTGCCCACGCCATGTATTTTGCCTGCTATGAAAAAATGAAAAGGACTTTAAGTGACATTATTCAGCAAGGGGGAAACAGCCACCTGGCCAACGGTATCACACAAAAGTTTGCAACTAACAGCCCATCCTTTTCCTGCTTCACACTCTTCATCCTTCTCTCTGCTCCTGAAAAGGAATGCTAGGGTAAACCAACACAGGCCTCCTTGAGAGCCTTTAACCTGGTGGCTGTCCCTGACAAGTACCTGAAGTAGAAATGCTTGTATTGGGCACAAGGTCTTGTTTGCACCAGGTGGCTTTTGACAGTGTTCATTTGAGTATACAGGCAGAACCCTCTTTGGGCAGTTTTTTATACTAGTATAAAAGTGTGTACATCACAGTATTAATTGCTGGTCCTCCTGTGACTTATACATGATATAATCATGCTCACACTAAGGCTTTCATTGTCTTGAGGACTGGTTTAGATGGACACCTTTTGATTGGGATAGTTTTGCTGATAAAACTTAAATGTTGCAGGCAAGGAGAACTAATTAGAGATGCCATTCAGGCAATGGAGAGGTGCAGGGAGGGGGAGTGTGGAAATCTGTCTTAAGGAAGAGGGCTGTCACTGAAGAGATGCTCACTTTAGTGCTTAAGGAATAACGAAAGATACTAACTATGATAGATAAATACTTTATTTACTTCGAAAAATTGAAGCTGAGCTTGAGCCAACCCTGATCTATAGATGCATTCAACCAATTGTATCAGTTTGGATCTGATATTTTATGCTTATTTAGTTAAACTGATGCAACCTTTAGTATGGGTGAAGCTTAGAAATGTTTTGGGAGATGAGGAGGGATGCAGTACCCAGGCTGACCAAACTCTAAGATCCAATAATAGCCGTACGAAGTTGCAGAAGATTGCTCCAAGCATATTTTATGGATGGATTCAGAGGATTTTATCAAACTTTTCCAGTCTCTCTTTTTTTTTTCTTCTTTTTTTAATCTAGAGAGCATGGGTTGTTGCTGAACTTTGTGTTACTTGTTTTAAAATTGTGGCTTCACTTTGTTCGAAGGTAGGCTCTGTCCCCTGTCAAGGACGGAACTGTGAAGGACGCTTCTTTTTTTTCCTTGTTTTGCAGGCATAGCTGGGAGCATGGCCACATTACTCCATGATGCAGTAATGAATCCAGCTGAAGGTAATGTCCTTGTGGAAGTGCAGCTGAAGTTGGGGAAGGGAATAAGGGTAGAAAACATGTTCGGATAGAGCACACTAGTTGAAATGTATAAACTATACTCCTTATTGTCTACCACAGTAAGTTTACATGGAAAAGTTGAGATGACTTTACTCGATTTCAGGTGACCTGCTTGACCACATGGATTCCAAGCACATATTGTTCTGATGTTTATTAATGACAGCTCCTTTAAGCCAGCTGTGTTAAAGAACAAGACATTCTTGCTGCCTTTGCAGCACTTATTTCCTTAAAAGTAGGAAACCCTCTCCCTGACTCTGCTGCTGTCCTCACTTATAAAATTTAAGTGGGAATCAAATCAAATCCAAGACATAAAAACAAATGTGTACTAAAACACGCTCTCTAGCAAATATAAGGGAAGAAATTCAGCCTATGAGTGACTGTCGATAGAGTGGCTGTCTACATCTGTCTGTAATCAGAAGGTGCAATATGATTGTGGGGAAATGTTTTAGGGCATTATACATGGGTAGCTGTTAAAGGCTTTATTAGTTCATTAACGATATTTAAACAGTATTGCTCTAAAACCTAACATCTTGTTAACAGACATGAAAACCCTATTTAAATGTTTATATTGTTCCTCTGGTCATCCAAAAGACCCTACACTACACTTGAAAAGAGTTTAGGTGAACCTGTTGCCAGGTTGTTATACTTTGAAGTCTTTTGCTTCGACTAACGTAATTCACTGGAGTGACTATAGGGGTGTCCTTGTTGCTATTCTTTATTCTCAGAAAACATTTTGGAATTGCCTGCTATTACCTTTGAGAGACTTTATCCACTTTAAAGTAGATTTCTAGGTATTTCATTCTGCCACTCAGAAAATAAGCCAAGGTGTCTTAAAACTAACTACACCTGAAAAGTCTATCACTTTTACTGGCTGACTCTTCAGTTGACCTCTGATTGTATGTTGTGACACAGGTTTCCCTTATTTTATGCTGTACATGCATTCCTGGAAAACTGCACATAACTTGCATTTGCATAAAGGGAACCCACTTTACAGTGCAACAGAGAAAAGTTCCAAGACCTCGACTTTACTGACTCCCCCAGACACATTTCTACCACCTTTACAAGACAGTTTTGGTACTCACCAACAGCAGACAGTA